ATGCCCCCCAGAAAATTTTGAAATATTTAAGCCATTTTCCTGCAATCTGAGGCATACTGTGGGCCATATTCTCAATTCTAATGACACTATCTCAACACGCCTAAACCGGATCCGGTTTCTGTATCCTGAAAACTAAAGGTGTTGAACAACAGTAGAGGGCACAGGCACTTGAAGCGTTTCAATAAATTATAATGCTAACTAAATACGAAATCTATTTACTACCAAATTCTTAATGTTTCTATACTCTCTTTCACCTATTACTATTACTATTAGTATTAACTATTATTGCCGACAGTTTCCTGTCAATTCCGTCCAAATCCTACGTCCAACCATATACGCTGCCGGCGCCATTGCTTTCGCGGCGCGACTGTTGCACGCTTACACTAGTAATAGTAGTATATATAGCAGGTAGGAAAGCGCGATCGCAAAATTCGCTCGACGCTCGCTGGATTACACACTTTCACATCACCAATATACATCCAACAGCTTCCATCTTTATTTCTCTTTCAACAACAGTGTTCACTTGTTATAAAAACAATGTCTCTGTTCGTAACCGAGCTGTGTCACGCGAAATCACACAAAGACTGACAAAATTCTCGCGTTCGCGAACCTTGCCCTGTAATGTAAATGTCTGTCAGAATCAGGACACCCACCGGCGCTCTTCGTGACCTCATTCTTGCGCCGCAACGCTGCAACGTTTTTGCAAAGTTCCAATGCCGAGGCTCGTACGGGAGTTGGAAAGCACTGCGCCGCCTGCGCGCCACCTATAGCCCATAGACTGGCACTCGCTCCCACCTCTCGGCTTAGCTTAGTCACTCGATGGGTAATCGAGGTGGGAGCGAGTCCCAGTCTATATATAGCCCTGTACTTGCAGCCATTTACATTACAGGGCAAGGTTCGCGAACGCAAGAATTTCGTCAGTCTTTGTGTGATTTCGCGTGACACAGCTCGGTTACGAACAGAGACATTATGTTTTTATAACAAGTGAACACTGTTGTTGAAAGAGAAACAAAGATGGAAGCTGTTGGATGTGTATTGGTGCTGTGAAAGTGTGAAATCCAGCGAGCGTCGAGCAAATTTTGCGATCGCGCTTTCCTACCTGCTATATATATATTAGTGTAAGCGTGCAACAGTCGCGCCGCGAAAGCAATGGCGCCGGCAGCTTATATGGTTGGACGTAGGATTTGGACGGAATTGACAGGAAACTGTCGGCAATAATAGCTAAAAGAGAGTATAGAAACATTAATAATTTGGTAGTAAATAGATTTCGTATTTAGTTAGCATTATATTTTATTGAAACGCTTCAAGTGCCTGTGGTAGAGGGCATCCATAGGCTGCAGGCCTGAATAAGCATCGAACAGAAATTAATTAAAAATAAGCACACTGTTACTGCGCTTACAAAACATACACTTTATTCATGTTAAATAACTACAGATTCATGCTCTATGCTCCGCTCGAAACTTTTGCCAGCTCGCCCTATGATGCGAATTTCTGCAAAGTTGTCTGAACACATTTCATACACAAAAAACACCAACCGGTCCCTGTGGCTACGCCACCTGACGGAATGTCACGAATACACAACAAGAATAATTTTACTTCTAATGCTTTCTAGACGTCCACGAGGCATCTACCTTGCGTGCATAATGCAAATTATTGCACTCTAGTGCCGAATTTCGGCGAAAAAAAATGCCAAAAAAGGCCTTTTCTAGAGACGAAATAGTGCAACGGTGAACAATTACTGTTGTACACCTCCTAAACAACCGGCTCTCTTCTCTGATTGGCTCATTTTGTCACTATTTTATTTTTTATTTTTTTTGGCTAATTTTATTTTATTTTAGAATTAGGGATAGAGTTAGGGTTAGGGTCTATATCCCTCAATTTCAAGATGGTTTCAGTGGCTCAACGGTAGAGCTTTAGCTTCTTGATAGTAAGGACCATATACGAACCCCATAATATGTTTTTATTTTCCTCTGCTTTCTGTATTCCTTTGTATTTTATTTGTTTCTGCATTTATTTGTTCTGTAACTTTTGTTTATGTTCGGAATTAAATATATTTCTTTGTTTTGCATTAAAAATTGTCCTATTATATATTTGTCCTGTTATGTTCGGAAACTGACCAATCAGTGAAGAGAGTCGGTTGTTTAGTTTTCAGGCCTCCGAAACCAGGTCCGGTCGTTTAGACACTACCATATAATTATATAGATTGCAGATTGATCATCGGACATCACAGTGGCTGGAGGTACGGCAGCCGTATCTTAATGTCTCGAGGCTACGGGTACGGCAGTCCATTTGCGCATGCGTCGCTTTCCCACAAAATAATGCCGTTGGAAATTAATTCACGATTTAATTCACGGTTAAGATTTCTTGATGAGCTAGAAAACACTCCGATTTAAAGTATGAAAATGAACATTATTGTGCCAGCTAGCCTACACCAGTTGGTTGGGATTGATTAATTGTTAGTTCAGATGCAAAATGTTATACACCATAGATTAATCGCAGTGGCTGGAGGTACGGCAGCCGTCGTCCGTTGAAGCCCCTTTTTGGCTTAGGGTTAGCATTCTAGCTCATCTAAACTCTCAAATCGTGAATTTATTTCCCAAAGCGTTATTTTGAAATCTGGCGCCACCGCTGCCATTTTTGTCTCGTTAAGTATGAAAGCGAATGGACTGCCGTACCCATAGCCTCGAGACATTAAGATACGGCTGCCGTACCCGTAGCCACTGCCTAGATTAATTGGGTACTATGACACGCGTATGTAAGATAGCCGAGTCGGTTTATAGTTAGTGTTAGGGGTAGGGTTGGGTTTAGCTCTAGTAACTATAGCTCGCGTATATAAACATATATTATAATATAGGTCACATTCAAGCTAGCAACACTCATTTTCTCATGGTATATAAACCTGGCCACCATCATTGGAGATTGTGAATCCCTCGTGACTTGGATGGCTATATAAAATGACAATCCTATATCCACTAATGGGGACATAAAATTACTGTTGGGGAAATAGACCCATGGCAGTGACCACTGACTACCCATAGTGACTGTGCTGCAGATCTATACACTAGATGACTTGATCCATAATAATAACATTTGTACAGCAGTAGGGAAACAAGCAAAGTAGCTTCACAGGACTCATATACTGTCATTGTCGTCACCGTCGTCATCGTCGTTGTCATCATCATCACCATCATTGTAAATTGTCCCCATATAACCCTGACCCACTTGCGGGGAGCCTACCTCTGATCCCCATTTCCCCAGGAAGTCATGAATACGATCTATAAGACAGTTATTTGTTCCAGCCGTTTGAGATTCCCACTTTACCAATCCCAGCTAATGCCCTGCCCTAACCCCTAACACCTACCCTAACCCTAACACTGACCCTAACCTTACCCCTATCCCTAACATAAAATTTTATAATCTTATCGTATATGGATGAGGCTGCAAAATAGAATTGACCTGCTTAGGTATACATTTTTAGCAACTATCTATTCTGAATTTTCTAGATGAAAGACAGACCCATAGCAATCGGGTTAAATGTTCTTTATGCTGCAGCCAAAATTGGCACTGACACTGTTTCTGATAAGGAGAAATTTGGATCGATTAACCGTCTTAATATATAATGAATCACAGATTATTGTTCCAACAAATTTGAGATCATAAGGATAAAAAACTTGACAGCAGTTGTCTAGTAGGGAACACTTTCTGGAAGAAGAAGACAATTGAAAATGGTCTTGACAGGAAATACTAGTGACTCGTGAGGTGCAGGTTAGCAGTGTCAAATGCTTCTGTCAGGTTCCTGGATAGGCTGTATCCTGGTCTTCCTAGCGGTATTTCCCCTGCACTTGGCTGCCAGGAAGGACTTGTGTCCGCTCTTCTCCTACTGTGACTTGGCATAAAATCATATCAGCAAGCTGTTTACTTATCCTCATGAAAAGTAAAAGGTCATGTAGCTTTCAAGAGCAGAGTAAATATCAGATCAATAAAGTCGTGCAGAAATCGTCCTGAAGTTTTCATGACTAGTCAGTGCGCGATACTTGTTTAGTTATTGCCAATAGCTAGTTTATTTAGTCTGTATTCAAATTTGAAACAAGGTTCACTAAGGTATAGAGAGTGATGTTGTTTATAGACGTAACTAGAAGTAGGCTGTATCTGGAATTATATCTTGATTATTCAACAATAATAATGACATGATACATCTTTGTTTTTAGTAAACTAGAAGTTTCTGGAAGGAATGAGTTCGTGTGCGATTGGTCAATAATCGATTTCTCACGTGTGTGTAGTGGCGAAAAAATATAACGTTTAGCCCTAGACGCTACCAAATGTACATGATGCATTTAAATTTGTATACACACGTTCAGTAATAGAATAGAAGTATCTGTCTTTGATTTGATTTTGAATGAGGACATGTCACATGGCTGATCAGGGGACAACATTACTGTAGTCTGTAAGTGTATATATCGGGTCTTGAATTCAGATTGATGTTACGAACAAAATTAAAATTGTCAGTCGCCACTCGGTGTATAAAATTAAATTTTATGGTGGCGAATTTTTAGATATAACATTTCTGAACTAGTTTTATTAGATATTTCTCCCATATATTGTAGCAATTATATCTTTAGTACAAGTGCATGAAATGCAGGTGTGCTGTTAATTGCTTCATTAATTTTAAAATATGATTGGTGTGATTATTAATGAGAGTCACGCATAGTTTATGAATTTACATGGCTTTGACAATGAATACTTGATTTAGATAAATGTAAAAATTTATGGGATGTAGCAAATTAGCTTGATCTTTGAAGGTGAAGTGTCGAACCCCACAATAGTTACATAGATTAAAGGCCAGGGGAAACCCCTGCTTGTTTATTAACAGAAATGTAATGAATACACACAACTGTATAGACAATAATTCATGTTAATTAATGCTTTATTTAATTATCACATTAGAAGTTGCAGGAATGTTTACAATGTTCCCTATTTGCCCACAAAGCGGTGCCGGCATTGTTGCCTTTCAGCCTTATACTATGTATTGACAAAGGTGCCAATTCTACGTTTCTAACTGAAAATATCCGTACAATATGTACTAAAAGACCTTGAGCGTGCATTCGTTGTACTTCTGAATAACAACATGCTTCAAGCACTCTCGCAGTAAGAGTGTATAATACGAATCTATCTGATCATGGGTTGGCGCACACCTGTTAGTCAAGGTCCTAGTTCAGAATAACATGCCAAGCACTCCTGGAGTATTAGAGTGTCTAATACGAATCTGATCATGAGTTGGCGCAGCACACCTCTTGATCCTGTATTGATTGATGTTGATCGTGTATTGATTGACATTGATCGCGTATTGATTGATGTTGATCGTGTATTGATTGACATTGATCGAGTATTGATTGACGTTGATCATGTATTGATTGACGTTGATCGAGTATTAATTGACGTTGATCATGTATTGATTGACATTGATCGGTCTGTCGTCACTACGCCACGAGCGCGGCCTTCACGGACTCGGGCACTTGCTTCACGTACCAGTCGTGGTCGCTCATCGTCGCCAGCACCCCGCCCGCATTCGGTTTCTTCACGGTGGCGTGGTACAGGATGTCGTTGCCGTGCATGTCCGTCAGCCGGCCTCCCATCGCATGCAGAATCGCCTCCGGAGCGCACGTGTCCCACTTCTTGCAGCCGGGACTGCCGAAGACGTACGCGTGGGCGACTCCCTCAATGACGAGCATCGCCTTGTGTCCGCAGCCTCCCGCCAGGATGACCTCGTCCGCATGCATCGCCGCGACGGAATCCCGCACCGTCTGGTTCGGATGCGAGCGCGTCGTCGTGACGAAGCGCTTCCCGGCAGGCGGCAGCACCTTCTCGACGCCGTACGTCCCGACGCCGATGATGCCCCAGATGGTGCGTCCGAGCGTGGCGCCGGGCGTCTTGAAGTTGTAGAACGGCTGGTGGATGACGCCGCCGACAGCGCGACCCGCGACGGCAACGCCGATGAGAACGGTAACGTGGTCGAGCAGGCCCTGCGTGTACTCGGCTGTTCCGTCGACCGGATCCACCCACACGACGATGTCCTCGTCGCGCACGTTGGTCATGTTCGCCGGGCAGGTCTTGGAGAGGACCTCAGCGGTCGCGCCCTCCTCCAGGTACTCAGCGGGGATGACGTCCGCCGGGTCAAGCGTCTCCTCGCCGATGATTGCGACCTTGGGGAACTGCTTGGAGAGCGAGGCGACGATGCATCGCTGGGCAGAGCGGTCGGCCTCTGTCTGCAGGTCGTGCTTGCCTTCCTTCTCAACGATGCCCAGCTCGCCTTTCTTCATGATGTCGCGGATGATGACGCCGGCGCGGTCGGCAACGGCGACGGACGCCGACACGAGACGCATGAGGAGGGGAGCTTCTGCCATCGCTTGCTGTGAGGGTCAAGATACTTGAATCCTGTATCAAAGAAAGGCATTCATTGTATGTAGTACACACGAGTATGCATTGATTGACACGTAGTATCTAATTATTCACACGCAGTATCGACATACTTGAATCCTGTCTCAAAGAAAGACATTCATACTAGTAACCACGAATATGCAGGGCGTTCGCCACCCTCGCACAATGCGATGAATGAATAACAGTGGTAATTTTACTGCATTAAGTGGCGAATAGTATTCACAAGTATGCATTGATTGACACGTGGTATCATAATCTAATTTTCCTTGAAACCTGTATTAACAAAATCCAATCATTGTATCAAGAGCATATAAAGAAGGAGAGCGTACAACG